CACTTTTTAAGCACTTTAATCTGGGGACTAATTTAATCAACATGATAATCCATAATATTTGTCACTGTTAATTACTATTGACCATTAGATATCATGTTTATTGGAGAATCCTTGGAAAACTGGGAATGGAGCCACCATTTGACCCAGCTATCCCACTCCTAAAACAGCAGACTACAGGGACACAACCACATCATATATATAGCAGCATTATATATAGCAGCACAATTCACAATAGCTAAATTGTGGAACCAACCTACATGCCCATCAGTAGATGAATGGATAAAGAAAATGTGGTATATATATTCACAATGGAATATTATCCAGCATTAAAAGAGAATAAAATCATGGCATTTCAGGTAAATGAATGGAGCTGGAAAATATAATGCTAAGTGAAATTAGCCAATCCCTCCCAAAAACAAATGCCAAATGATTTCTCTGATTTAAGGATGCTAATTTATAATATGCTGTGGTGGTGGTGGTGGGGATTAAATGAACTCTAGATAGGACAAAGGGGAAAAGGGGAGGGAGGGGAAGGGGAGGGCATAGGGGTAGAAAAGATGGTGGAATGTGATGGTCATCATTACCCTAAGTACATGTATGAAGACCCAAAGGATGTGACTCTACTTTGTATACAACCAGAGATATGAAAAATTGTGCTGTATATATGTAGTATGAATTGTAATGCATTCTGTTGTCATATATGACAAATTAAAATTAAATAAAAACAAAATCTAGAGAACAATAAAAAAGATATCATGTTTATTATTGATAATGTTAATAGTACTATAATGACTGATTTTATAGTTGAGGACATTGAGGCACAGAGAGGTTAAGAAACACACCCATCGTCACACACGTAAGTGGCAGGGTTAGATTTTAAACCTATATAATCTGGTTTAAGAGTTCACTCTCTTCACCATTTCATTTAATAGCAGCCCTAGAGCACATCATAAAGAAAAATTCCATCTGAGTTTAATCTGCTTTGATTAAATGCAATACTTTTATATTTGGCACTGTCCTAAGTAGTTCATAATTTACCAAGGATTCTAGAACCTCAACCTGTCAGTTAGCACTATATGACCTCAGGTTTGTCACTGCTAAGCTCCAGTTTTCCCACCTGTAAAGTGGGGGCATACTACCACTTGTGGGTAGGGTTAAATGGGATAAAACACACGCGGGATTTAGCCCCACTCCCATCCCATAATGAACACTGAATAGGTGTTTGCTGCCACCGTTGTTATGGTTACTATTAATATTTCATTTGAGCTGCATAACAATCCCATGACTTAGGTAGGATTTATTATCCTCATTTCTCAGGTTCAGAAATTGAAACTCATAGCAGGTAAAAAACTAGCCCAAGGAACAAGCCAGAAAATGAAAAGGCCAGACTTGGAAAATCTTCCAGCTTCAAGCCTTCTTCCCTGCTCCTAGCACTCAATCGCCACCCCCACCCCTTCCCTGGGAGGCACGGTTATATGAGCCAGATCATTTTTCACACAAGACTGCAGGCAAGTTTGAAGATATTGGAGGTCTAGGCTTGGGGAGAAACTCTTGAGGAGTATTAAGAAAGTCTTAAAGGTGCAAATAAGTTCCCGTTTAGGGACAGGCAAGCAGCACCTCATTCCCAAGCAACAGCCAGAGGGAAGGAAGGACTGAGATTACACTCTGGTGATCTGTGTATCCTAGCCACCAAGGCTTGGCCTCTGCTGGGGGTTGGGGGTATCTTCAGGCTGAGAAGTAAAGAATCCTTTCCTTTGTCCAACAGGCAAAGAAAAGGATGTCTTTAAACACCATCTAACATAAATCAAGCACCCTTTTAAATCTGTATTGCACTTTAGAGTTAAATAACACACCCAAGGTCACAATTGGTAAATGGCAGCGCTAAGTACATATGGTGGGGTTTATTCCATTGGTTTTCTGTAATTCTGCATTTCAATGCACTTGTTGAAGTTTCTATTAGTACACTCAGTTCTGCTCCATGGTGCATTTAGTCCTGGGACTGAGACAAAGGGTCACTCAGTGATAAAGTCAGCCTAACTTTTAAGGTATAGAACTTAACCAATTTTTCTTTTTTAAAAAATATTTTTTTAGTACTAGGTGAACACAATATCTTTTATTTATTTATATGTGGTGCTGAGGATCAAACCCAGTGCCTCACACAAGCTAGGCGAGCACATTACCACTAAGCCACAATCCC